ATTGTTTACTGCCACCAGGGTGAGCTCAGTTTAAGGCTGGGGCTGTCATCTCATCCAAGGAAAGCTGTTCTCTGGTAAGTGTACCATAAAAACCAGCTGGTGGAGAGCAGCAAGAATGGTTCTTATTCTTTAATGCTCGTCTGTGCTGACAGGCAACCTCTTGTGAGTTACAAGTAGGGTATTATTATTTTTCTTTTTTTGTTGTTGTTGTTGTTTTTAAATGTCTTACCAAAAGCCTTAATTAGTGCTTCAATAAGGTAAAATTCTTTCCTGGACAGGTACGTGTTTTTTCAGGTCATGATGTGATCTCGGGGGAGGTGGAAGGGGGGAAATCTGTGCAGCCTCGTTTGAAAGGAAGTCGGCTCTTCCCTTGCTTGGCAGCAAACACGGTGACAGCTCAACGCAATGAGACACCACTCCCCATGACTGAAGGTACAAACAGCACAGGCATGTTCTGCAACACAAAACTCATTCATGGCAGAGCTTAGAAATAACCTGTCTGCCTTTTTTATTTGGTGGTTTTGACCTCAATCCTCTAATGCCGCCCTGGGCTCCTGCCCGTGTCGCCCAGAATCAGAAACCACCACTGGTTAGTGGCCGTTAAAAGTAAGTTACACTGATTGCACTCATAGGAGTTTGAGAAATGTGAAGGAAAGGAACCAAAATTAAATTAAGAGTCTAACCTCCAGCGACTGAGCTACACTTAATTCAATAATGTAGCTGCTCTGGTCCTTTCTGATGGTTATGCTGGAGACATTCACAATGCAGCCCAGTAAAACTGCTCTGGTCGGGTCAAAAGGCCACACACTGGTATTATCCTGCTGCTTCTTCACTGAGCAGTGGGAGTGGAGGGAATGATGAGAATTAACATGGTCTTCAAACTGCAGGCATGACATTAAAGCTTTAGAGACATATCTTGATATTGTCCAATTTGCTATGCTTTTTTAATTAGTTGCTTTGCACGTGTCCATCTGTCCTCAGATTTCATGGCATCGGCTCCATCTGAGCGCCTGCTGCAAATGTGTAAAGATTATCATATTATTGAATATCTACATAAAGAATTCATAGAATACCAATATTTTCTTATGATTGTTAGAAATATTATCTGTTGTGGTGCCATAGTCAACTGTTTGCAACCAGTACAGTGTTGCCAAGTGCTGCCATGGTTGCCTCTTTTCCTAATTCTCAATAAGCCTCTTCATTATGTTGAAAGTGTTCAAGACTAATTTAGGCGTCTGGAAGTTATGTGGGAAGATTTAAGGGTGGAACATAAGTAGCCTGGTGCATTCACTTTGAATGTGACTCTATGTAAATTCAATCCATTTGCTGTACCATCTGTAAGTGAGCTGCTGATCAAACTATCGGAAGATCCACTCAGTGATTAAAATAGTCCTCAATGTGCAGCAAAGCAATAATAGTCCTTGAATTTACCTGACGTTGTTTAATCAAACATAAGCACTGCTTCTAACAGAACAGCCTCGATGTCTATTTAACGTTTTTCTAAAGCACTTGAGGGAAGACTTTAAAGTCCAGAGACTGTATTACTGTAACTGGCTTTTTATCATCTTCTCCACGCCTGCTCACTACTGTTATGTGCTCAGACAGATTCTGCTGCCATTCATAAAACTAGAGAAGTGTAGCAGCATAATTACTGGAGTGAGCTCTGCCTATGTTTTCCCTGGATAAGTGTGCCAGTGCTTTCTGTTTTTATATTTGTGATGTACAGTCTTGATTAGATATCTTTGAAGATTTTTTTTTAACCCAATAAGTTTAGCATTTTCAAAGTTTAGTATTTTTAGTGGCTAAAAATGACTTTATTTAATTGCTAGAACAGGTATTTTTGTCAAATATGTGAAAACTGATTTTGTGCCATTTACCTTGTTTCATAGTGACAGGGATACTCGTGTAAAATGTATATTTATTGTTCTTCATCATATTACAGCTACAATATATTTCACAAAGATTCTCAAATTTGCAGACACCCATGTTAAGATCTGCTGAGTGTGTTCCTAATTAGTATACAAATTCTAGTTTGGAAATAAAGTTTAGAGATGTGAAGATGTATTTTGGCGTATGCACAACTCTATTTTGGTCTCTTACAGTTTTCTGCCAGTTCTAAGTGATCCCCTGTTGCCTGTGAATGCAATGCTTAGCCAAGCATGAGAGAATTTCTTCCAGAGCAAATTAGTGATAACGTCTAAAGGGAATGATATTGTTTTTCTTTCTCTTTTTTTTTTATATGAACCCCCAAAAGTTTGGACTTGGTTGACTAAGCATGAAGAGCTTTATTTTTTTGATTGTTAAAGGAATGTTTTGTCGTCCCAGTGCTGATGGGGATTGCTATACGTTACAAGCAGATGAGACTGAGGAGTAGTTAAAAAATATATATATATATCTCTGGAAATTTTTGAGTACAAGCTCTAAATGTTCAGATGGCATGCTCAGGCTGTAGTTTGTGGTTAGTGAAAGGGTCACTTTTTAATTTGTGTTCCAATTTGTTTTTTATTTCAGATTTTTTGCTAAACATTTTGTTTTTTTTTAAATGCACCATAATTTTCCTTATGTAAACCTTGTAAAAATATATTTATACTAGATAATGTACTGTACAATGCCTTTCAAAAGTAATCACACCTCTTGAATTTTTCACACTTTGCCACACTACAGTCACAAAGCTCAGTGTATATTATTGGGATTTTTCTTATAAACCAACAGAAAGTATGTAGCTGTTAAGTGGATTGAAAATTATCCATGGATTTCAAAGGGCTGCACAAGTAAAACCAATGAAATTTGTTGTGCTTTTCCGTTTAACCCAGAGAAACGATGCTTTGTGAAGCCACACATTCCTGCAGTTACAGTTTAAAGTCGGCTATGGTATGTTTCCATCAGCTTTTCATCCCGTCAAGGTGTCTGTGAATATCAGTTTTCATGTATTTTGTCTGGTTTTATGTAGTTTTACTTACCAACAAAATCCCTCAAGCTCATTTTTGATCAGACAAAAAGTGTGTAAACATCAGCTTACAAGCCTTGTCACAAATTCCTAAATGGGATTTAGGTCTGGGCTTTGACTAGGCCATTCTAATACATAAAAGGTGCAATTACCCCCATGTTTAATCTTTTTGCAGTAAATTTTCTTGCAGGATTACCCTGTATTTACCTCCATCTAATAACCTATTAAGTCTCACCAGCATGATGCTGCCACCACCATGTTTCACCAAATGGTTTGTTAAAGGTGATATGCTTGAGTAGTTTTATACCACACATTGTATTTTGCAAGTTGCCCAGGAAGTTGGATTTTTGGCCTAATCTGACAGCCTAAATGTTTTCCGTTTCCCTCTCTCTTATTGCTTGCTTTCAAAAATCTATCTTCTTGTCGTTTTTCCATAAAGGACAGATTTGTGGAGTCCTTAAACAGTTGTGATTTGAACAGATTCTCCCCACATGAGTTCCTTCAAAGATGCAGCATGCTTTTTAACTGTTTGACTGGCTGATGTCCTGGAATTCACCGTAAGAAGGCGGCCATGTTGCTGTAGCTCATCCACTGAACAGAGCCAGATGAGACTTTTAAAACTTGCCGTTTGTTTCCTGCTGTTTTCTTACAAACCTCTGAGGCTTTCACAGAACTATTGAATTGACTTCAGATTTGACTCCTGAAGTCAGGTGTTTGCACAGGATTGCATCCAGTTGTATCATAATAAAGCAGCCTGAAAACACATCTAACCAAGCAGTTCACCAAGTATTATTTTCCGTCCACTTGAATATTTTGTGCCACTCTGTGTCACATAAAGAGCCAATAGAGTACGTTTGTGGTTTTTAATTAAAAATCATAAACATTGAGGGCACAATAACTATTCCAAGGGAAAGTAAACACGGTCATGATGTTGTATAGCTTTTTTGACTTTTATTAGGTATTATTACCAACTTGGTGCTACTGAGAAACTTTTATAACAAAAATAATGCTGATCTTATCAGCAGTCCTTTCTTTGTTCGATAAAAGGTCACTAAAAACTGCTCTGGTTTCAATCTTTTTTTAATGTCTTAGATTTTACAATAACAATACATCAACATTAAAGAACAACAATAATTTCTCATTTGCACGTTTCATGTACTTACTTTTTTAACTTCAACTCCTAGCTTGCTGCATTTAAATAAAGCACTTAAATTGTGTCTTCTGCTCGTAGATACTAGTAGTGTCTCTTCTAAAATACTGTAAACTTTGATTTTATTTGTACATAAGCACAGTGTCAGTCCCAGTGTGTGGCACACAGTTGATACATAGTGAATTTAAAACAAATGATTTAATCAAATTATGTCTTATTTGGGAAACTCCAGAACAGGGCACAGTGCTGTTACAATACAAATGGTAAAAAACTGCAAAAATATATTGCACTGAAGGCTGCAGTAAGCAAAGTAAATAATTAGACATCAGTGAACAATTAGATCACATCAAGCAGACGGGTGCAATAACTCACAGCTGTAGTCAAGCTTCATTTAAAAGATGATGCTAACGTGTAAACTAAAACAGATCATAATTCTTCTTTGGCTAGAATATATCTGGTTGTGCAAAATATGAATCGTTTGTAAATATGGTTCTCTTTCCCATCTACATATATCTAGAGATATGCATATGTATATATTGGTCATTTGAAATTATTTATTCTACTGATACTTTTGACAACACACGTAAAGCTTCACTCATAAAAAAAATAATTATTTCAAAATCTAATAATAGTTCACAGTACAGCAGAAATTATTACACATCAATGTAACATTTTTCATCGCATTTACTTTGTGGAAAAATACAGTATTGCACCATAAAACTGTGCAATTATGGTGCAATACAGTATTGCACCATAATTTTGCCTCTCATTTAGCAGTAGTTTTTTTTTTCCAAAATCTCTTTCTCTTTCTTACTGTTTATTCATTTTTTTAATTATGTAAAGCACTTTGAAATGCCTTAATGCTGAAATGTGCTACAGAAATACAATTTGATTTATTAATTGATAATACACTTCAACACACACCACAGGTAATGTTAGTGGCACAGTTTTCTCAGATTGATTTTTTTTTTTTTTTTTCCTTTAGAACTTTCCTTTTGCCGAAGTCCGGGTTCGGGCCTCTGTAAAAGATGGCTCTGGACTTTTCACCAGAACCTGTGGATTTGTTGGTTGACTCTTGGTCGAGTCTTGTGATGTTTTACCCTTTGTTTCCGTCGTCTGATTGTTTCGTCTTTGCTCGGCCGGGTCGGGGTCACCGTTGCACCTGTTGCACAGATCCATCATGTCCTGAAGTCCCTGCACCAAGCACTTGACAAATTTCACTGAACACGTCTGCGGGTTCTCGTGGAAACTGGACACTGAGAAGATGATGTGGTCTGACTGAGGGTTGTAGCAAGCGCCGTATCCATCGGGCACCACTGGTCCGTAGCAGCAGAACATCTCTACAGTTGTTGGGACCTGAGAGAAGAGTTACTACTTACAACTGAACTACAGACAGTTAAGCACTTCTATGATAAAGAACAGTTTGGAAAAGACTTACAAGTGCTAATCACAGATTTTCAACGCAGCCCAATCATTTTTATAATTTGATAAGTAAATAGTATGTAAGTGATACCAATTCCCTCATCACGCATGCTGGAGGTGTGAAAATATGTTCGCTTTATGCAAAAAGGCAATATGTAATCTTGGGTTCACAAGAAAGTGATGGCATTTTCATAACATTTTGGGTAAAGGTAAGATTTTTTTTTTTTTTTTTTTTAAGAAATGGTTTTTCAAATCTCCAAATGCTTTGAATGCTTTGTAAATGTAAAAAAAAAATAATTCAGTTGAGGATTTTCCAGTCTATATGCTGCTGTTTATGCTAGTCTCAATCCAAGGTATGTGTAAAGGGAAGTGGAGTTGACCTTACTCCCACGGGGGATCTAAAGGCAAAATAACAACAATGATGTAACCACAGTTAAAGTTGATCAGTTTAATGAAGGTTGTTGACTTGTAGTGACGTGAACTGTCAGAGTCTAGGGCACTGACTAGGAAAAAGAGGAACTGAAAGGAGAACAAGGGTGATCAACCAGAGCACAAGAGGCATGGAACCAAGGAAAGGAGTGTGTCTCTCAGTTTCAGCGGTACTGACCCCTGCAAAGCATTACTAATAAAAGAAGCATACAAAATTATTCAGAAGTTGACGACATTCAATGAATGTGTCACTGTAATGTTTGTGGATGGCAGTAAAATAGCTATGGTGCATGATCCTAGAAGAAATAAGAAAGGTGTTTATAGGTTGCTTTTAGTCCAAATATTGTAAAATGGAACAACATTCCTGGAACTTGACAAAGTCACTAAACTAAAGCTGGATCTGTTCCAAGTGCCAGTGGCGAAGTGAGAAGAGCAGTCGTTTAGTGAATGTGTTCTGTGGGAATTATCGAACTCGGGTTGCTGGTTATTTAACACATGGGAGGAAGCCGGGTGAGGCATTCAAACGTAAGCTGTCAGAATCCAGGCGAATCTTCTCTAAAAAACCGGCTAGATAGATTCTCTGAGTTCTGCAGTGGGTTATACCCTGCAGATCAGGGATCCAAGTACCAGAGGGGCACGCAGCTGGTTCAGGTATTAACCCTCTCCAAAGGGAGAAGTAAGGTGAGGGGGTCAGGTGTACCTGTGCAAAGAATCTCAAAAAGGACTAAAAATGTCCTTTTGGTATTTTCACCAGTAAATCAAATAATACAACTCAAGCTGTGTTTTAAAGACTCTCTGCCCAGTGTAGGATTATCTAGCTCAGGTTTAAAAGTCTAATGCCATCTACACAAAACACTTCGGGGTGGGATTAAAACGCCTTTTTGCCCTCTGCATGTATTTTGTGAAGGGATTGATGAGATGAGTGTGGTCCAAGTCAGTCTGGTCCTGCTATGACTTCACATGGTGAGGTAGCCACAGCCCCAGACTGGCTGACTTTTATAGAGGTGAGTCAGCTTTTCAGGTCAGGGGAGGGAAGTGGTGATGACGCACGGTGTGTGTGTGTGTGTGTGTTCTGCAGCAAGATTTACAGCTGGGGCTCTACTGGAAACACTGTCCTCGAGCTACAGGAGTTCATTTTGGAGAATTTGACCATTCTTCTTGAAGCGCATGTGTGAACTGGTGAATCTCTGCTCTTACTCACTCCAAAGGCGTTCTACTGAGTTTAGGTCAGGACTATGTGGAGACAAGTTCAAACCAAACTTGCTCATCCATTTCTTCATGGATGCCGTTTCATGCACAATGTGCAGTCGTGTGGGCCAGCAGAAAAAGACCGTTCTCAAATTACTGAAATTATTCAAACTGTTTTGGTTTGCTGATACAGTAATGTCCCCCCCCCCCCCCTCCCGGTAAAAGGGAGCCAGGATTTGAGTCCTGTGGTACGGTGGATTGGCCACTGTACTTTGTGGTGGCCAATCCAAGACAAGTCTGAATTGATTTGCCAGACAGACATGTATGGTTAAGCTCTCTGAAAAAAAAAAAAAAAAAAAAAAAAAAAAATAAAAATAATAATAATAAAAAATCTCCACTGCTCTAGAACCTAGCACTGAATCTGATGTTTTGCCTTTTACTTAGTGATGCAAGTGCTGGTTGTGGCTCCTCATACATGGTCAGCTACATGGCTATACTAAATGGTCTTAGGCAACAGCCACTTCACAACACTCACTACTTGGCAGATTGCCAACAATAAAATTATGCTCCTGAAAGTGTATTGCATCGTAAAATTGCTTTTGAAATCACCTGACTTGTTGAGAGAATAAAGTGATTACTGATGAGATAAGCGTCGTCTTTGAAGATCTCGGGTTTCTCCATTTTCATTTCGCGAGCCGCCTCACGCAGACCCAGCAGGTGATTGTCTATTGCCATCCCAGTAATCGCCTATACGAATGCACACAAAAAAGGTACGTTATTGCAGTTATTCAATAATTCAATGTTGTTGTAGAAATGCTACGATAGAAGAAGGTTACCATGACGGTATACTTTGTCTGCGTATTTATGGCACATCGCAACAACTCCATCTTCTCCATTTCCTGCCAGTGCAGAGGGTAGCAATTGATATTTTGCTATTTTACAGTTAACTTTACAATGTCCTAAAAATAATAATGCAAATGAGAGCAAGACTGATTATGCAGCAATATTCATTTACCAGAAATATTAAACACATTTGAAACCATTCATTGATACACACCGAACAAAATCAAACAAACTTTTTTCTCACTAATAAGATTAAACGTTGCAGTTTTTGATCAGTTAGGATTTTCACCATTATTATGTTTTTGCCAAATACAAGAACAATGGGTGAGATACATTTCTGAATAAATGTTTTTTTTTTCTTATTTTCTAGTTCAGAATTTTATATTTATTTTCATTTTACTATAACTGCCTTATGAACTGTTTGATTTTGAAAAATGTGTGTGTGTGTGTGTGTGTGTGTGTGTATGCGTGTGTGTGTGTGTGTATCCTTCCACAAGCTTCTTGGATGAGTTTACTGTAATTTTGGTGAATTACTCAAGATGTTACCGAGTCAAGTTTGTAGGTCGCCTTGCTCACACACACCTTTTCAATGGTACTTTGTGGTGGCCAATCCAAGACAGTGACTTTGTTGTCCTTCGGCTGGAGTTATTGATCTAGCCATATGATTTTTGTCCATTTGGAAAAGCTTGTTGTATCCAAGGCTTATCTTCCTGGCTTGTGTCTTAAGGTCTTTCTGGCTTTTTTTGTGTTGCTTTTGAATAATGGCTTCTTCTTCTCTGAGTGGGTTTTCAGGTCCAAATCACAACAGGACTTATTTCACGGTGATAAAAAAAAGCCTTTTGTCAAATATCTGCGTCAGTCAGCGTCTTTCATGAGGTCTTTTGCTTTTGATCAGGGTTAAAGGTCATACTTTGTAAAAATTCAGCTTGGACATTCTCATGTGGTTGATACATTCATTTGTTAGGTTATATTAAAGTAACACTTTTTTGGTCCACAATGCTCTTTGTGACATCTCACAGGGTTTCTTTCAATTTTTCCTTACTGTCACTCGAGAAAGTGTTGTGTTTGCGGTGAGGCCACAAAGATGCCTCCATTAGACTCAAGTGTTGTGGATTAACCTATCAGAAAATGTTAATTTCAGTGTATGGAAACTAAAAAAAAAAAAAAAAATCCTTAAAAACCTTCCCCCTTGTTTATTAATCTGGAATTTACCAAGTAAAATTTACTTTTCACTTTTCCAAACACAGGAAATGATTGTCTAATTTAATGTCAGACTGTAAAAAAATTATGAGTATAGTTAAGTATCTAGTTTCAACACTTTGAAGCATCTTACTCTTGAGGTGAGCTTCATATCAGTCATTGCTCTAACAAAGGCCAAAGCTTCAGGTGTGGCCGAGCGAATGTTGTCAACTCTGCCCTGCTGAAAGCGACGCGTGGAAGCGCTCTCGTATGTTGACACCGCTCTGCCGTGACACCTGTAGTTAAAAACCAGAGGAAGAAAATCCTAATTTCTGAGTTTAAACAACATAAGAAATGACAGCCTTTCATCTTTTTCTTACCGATAGTATGCTAACTGCAGAGCGACCTGGATGTAGGCATCCGGACTCATTTTCTGCTTCTTGATGAACTCTTTCCCGTAGTCAGAGAATGTGTGGACGTTCATGTCCAGGTTCTTCACCAGTCTGATTAAAAGGGGAATAAACTTTGCAGCGCATTGAAAACAAATATCCACAAAACACATTTTGAATTCCGCCGTTCCAGAGGGAATGTGAACCTGTGGAGCCCGTCAGCAGAGGAGATGAGAAGTTTTTGCATCTCTGGAGAACATTTCCAGCGCAGTCTGCGTGGCGCAGGCAGTTCGCTCACACTCGCAGCCCTGACCAGCTTTGATGGGCTGCCAATCCTGATGTCACATGGGGAGAGAAAAAAAAAATAGCATTGCTATAATAAGAATTTGGTATCTGTTATGCATCATAGAAAATCATTTCTTACATGTATTTAAGGAGATACTCTGAGCACTGCACAAGAACAATTCCTTCAAACGGAGAGTGTTCACACACGACTCCACAGCAGCCGTCAGCTCCTACAATAAACTGAAAAAGAAGCATTTGAGTGGGATTCGTCATGTGCTTAAGATTATTTGACACTTCAGTTCAGTGTAGGTGCGTTGTTTGATTCTTTAGGTGGGTATCATCTGCACACTGCACAGTAAGGACAGTCGTTTAAAAAGAAGCCTTGAACTTCTCCTGTAAATGTCATTTATCAATGTCTGAACGTCTTTTAGGAGAATTTATGTCGAGATAAAACTGTAGATCTGTTGCAAACTGAATATAAAATTTCTCATTCAGACTTTTGTTCTCCAATTTCATTCTTTCAAGCATTACTTTTACACTGATTTGCAAAATAAATTGAATGCCGTTGCTGAAGTACAAAATAATCTTTGATTGTTTAATTTTCCTTTTCATTAAAAAAGCAGTAATTCATGTTTAAATAACACATGGCTTTTTAAGCAACAGTGTCTTGCAAAAATTGTCATACTCCTTGAACCTTGTCACACTGAAATTACTCATAAGTTTTTTTTTTTTTTTTTTTTTTTAATTAATGTGTGCTTGTTTAATAGACCAACACAAAGTAGCAAAACACTTCAAAACAGACACACACAAAAAAAATAAAAAATAAAAACGGATGCATGGTTTCATTTTTTAATCAGTTAACTTTGAGCTTTTTCTTGAACTTTAACTATAAACATGCTTTGATCCAAATTCATTCCAACATAACTCTGGCTGAATGTTTATGTGAACCTTGCTCTAGTTTCAAGGCCTTCAGTCTCTAACAGCTTTTCATTCAGGATTGCGTTTACATGTCTTCATCTGCCTTCACATCAACACTGGCTACTACTCCTTTGCATTGGGCTATCATGTTAACTCAAAGCTCTCGGACACACAATATCAAATACTAAAGGGATTCTGCTCACTGACCTGCATCGGCTTGTCGTACCAGCGGTTGCCTCCGTTCTTGCTCGGTCCGCCACCGTGCAGCATCATTGCGGCGCGTGTCGTATCGCTTTGCTCAGATCCACTTGCGTCATCCAAACAAACCAGGCACAAACATCGCTCTATCATGTCCAGGGAGTCTCGGTTGGTTGATTCTGTTGGAAGAAAAATGTTATAGCTATAATTTGATCTTCTAAAGTTTTGTTTTTGAATAAAAGTTCCCCCCAGTCTCGTGTGTGTGTGTGTGTGTGTGTGTGCGAGAGCGGCCATATTTCTGACTGTCTCCAGTGCTACACAGTCATTGCTGGAAGAAACATTTTTATAAAAGAAAGTTCAGATTCTGTAAAAAAAAAAAAAAAAAAAAATCCCCCCCCATTTAGAACACGGGGGGCCCCCCCCCCCTCTCCCCGCCCCT